ACGAAAGATGAATGTCGGAGGCAGAATGGAGGGTTAAAAAAATTAGCCCAAAATTGTCTTATTTTCAAACGCACTGCATGATTCAAGTTTCTTGCTGCCACTAGCATTGACTGTGGATGCAAGGGTGAGCTGAATCGAAAAATATTTGCATCGCACGCATTTTGATGATCGTTGTGACATTTTATTCAAAGGAAGATTTGGAGCCTTGAAGTTCCTTGAGATACCGTATATGAGTAGACCCTGTGAACACAATAAATCAAGGGTCAAAGAATTCCATGTACCTACTAGATACTTCATAATTTCGTAATCGCGATCTGTGGCATCGGCTGTAGACACACTGTAATGATCAATCATGGAGTGAAAGATTAATAAAAAAAGTCTCGTTAATAATTCCGTAATTTCAAAACCGCTTGTAGACCTTGTAAACAAGCAATAAAGGAAGTAAAAATAGTGTATGTACTACAAGTGTTACCCCCTCTCAATGAATGTATGAATAGTACCTAAACAAGTGGTTCATTATTAATTTTTTAATTTAAAAACCACAAGGTGGGAGATTTATATGCGCAATGAGAATGTTGCTTGAAGACCCGTTAACCATAATCAATCGAAGGAGCACAATGTGTTCCATAATTAGTTAGGCAGAGATTCCTTAATAATTTCGAAATTTCAAAACTGCGGGATATGGAACGATAACTTTCAATGTGGATTAATGTTTTTCGAATTTTTTAGATTTTAAGGGTTCGAACAGCTCACAAAAAATTTAGAGGCTACAATTTTGCAATAAATTGCTGGGGAATAACAAAAATCCGTAAGTAATTGATGGTCGATTTTTCTACCTCATTTGATTTCTATAGCGCGTTGTCATCTTAATACCTTTAAGTAATTCTCGGCTCCAGAAAGTCGCTGACTAAAAAGTACGCAGCTACCAGTTTATCGTACCCATTTTAAAGATGCATAATTCGGAGCATGGGTATACAAGGTATAAGCTCGTCGATTTCGGAAAGTACCGGGATTCAGATTTACTATTAACAAAAAATGGTTTTCTTAATTAGTAGATATCTTGAAAAATTCATTAATTAGTAAGTCGTTAATTATGTAGTGGTTTATTCCAATTCCGGGAGATTTTTAATTCGCATTTAAACCACCGATGCGACCAGTGCGTGGTATATTTTTGCGTTCAGTTAGGTCTGAGTTACTAGAGCAAGCATTTACTGGAGTAAAGCAGTACCCGGGAAGTTTTAGAAAAGATTCTGTCGGGAACTACCAAAAAGTAATCACGTACTTTCGTCGAGACCCCACATGATACCATGCGTCGGTCGGATTCAATCGAAGTGTTACTACCATTTGCGGTATGTGAAACATGTACGAACTGTGCTCTGTTAGTTAGATATAATTTTATTAACTGTAAGGCAATTCCTCTAATACCATAATAAGATAATTCATTCAATAGTATAGCAGGTCACAATTAACACTAACCGTCCGCTTCTCTCCATTTAAACCACTTAAAATATGAAACATTAAATTATTGGGAGTACATCTTATTTCTTATCTTGAAAGTAATTCGCTCACGCACCGATAACAAATCCGCGACGACCGGAGATAATACTTTTTACAAAAGTATAAAACTTAATCTTTTCACGCGTAATTTCTTTACAATGCAATAAACAAAATACAAGCGATTATTTAAAGAAAATTAACAATATTATACAAAATCACAATGACTTCCAATTCAAATACCATCATCAAAATTTTATTTATTTATTTATTTATTTATTTCTAAAATTTCAAATAAATAAAAGCTAGACAAACCATGTGGATAAAACAGAATAATATAGATTATAAACAATTTTAGTTAAAAAAGGTAAAAATGACTAAAGAGAATACTACTACACAGGTACAAAAAATTAAATTTATACATAATAATAATAATAATAATTTGTCTACTTTTACCTATTAAAGTAGTTTTTTGCAATGTTATAAGGGCTGGTTTTTAAGGGTTGGGTTACGAAATAAAAATAAGTATTCGCAATTGCGATAAATGAAATAGCTTTAGGTGTCGCTGAGGAAGTCGTCAAAAGTTTGTACGTGGATGACCTAATGATTTGTTACGCAGGTAAAACTGTCGGAGAAAGTACACGGAAACTACAGGTAGCTATAGAACGTATTCACGGAAATGCAAGTGATATAGGGTATGTGCTCTCGGAGGAAAAGACAAGATGTATGCATTTTTGTCGACTCCGTAGACCTCACTACGACCCCGTGTTGTTTCTTAATGGGCAAATAATTAGCGTAACCCGGGATATTAAATTTTTGGGACTTATCTTCGACAGTGAGCTAAGATGGACCAAGCATTTAGAACATCTTATTGTATCGTGCAGAAAATCGCTCAACGTCATTAGGGTACTTGCTCACCACAAATGGGGAGCTCATCCTAAGATATTACTTGATGTATACCGAGCCTTGATTATGTCTAGGATGGACTATGGTTGCTACGCATATTCAACGTGCAGCGATACAATGTTGAGCGAACTAGATAAAATCCAAAACTCGGCTATTAGATACTCCCTTGGTGCTTTTATAACGACCCCTATTAGTACTCTGTATGTGGAGGCAGGTATTCCTCCCCTTGCTTTGCGTCGGAAACAAATGATCATCAATTATTACTTGAAGACCACCTTGGATAATGAACACCCGAACCATGATATGCTGTTAAACGATAACAAAAGCGTGCGGTTACAAAGGTGCAGATCATTGGGGGAGAGAGCAAGAGAATGTCTGAGAGAAATGCACTTGAGCGAAGCAGAACTGTTAGACTTGTCAAAAAAGAATGTCAAAGACCGGGTGTGGGAACACTGGCAGGCACAGTGGGTAAATTCAGATGCTACGTTAAGGAAAGTCAAGCCTAACATAGGACCGCTACTTCAAATTCCTGCTGAACGTAGCACAATGGCAAAAATTTACAGACTCCGGCTGGGACATACCGCGCTTACACACCGTTTTCTTCTTACCGGGGAAGCACAACCTCGATGTGAAACCTGTGGAGTGGGAATATCCCCCGAACACATAATATGTGCATGCGCAAAATATGACCTTCAACGACAATTATACGATATTAAGGCAATGTGGGAAGAAAACTTTAAATCCATCGAAATGTACAAAATTAATTAACTTCTTGCGGAATATAGCAGTATTGCACACAATATGATCCCGTAATGTAGTAATAGTAAATGTCATTTAGATATAAACAATGGTAAAAGGCTAATGGCCACAGCAGCCGAAGCCATAGGTGGGGTTTTAGTGGGTATGCCTTACCAAGGGGGAGCCCCACACTACTTCGTTCTCTATGAAGTGTGCTTAAGGTGCAGTTCCCCACCTACATAAAAAAAAAAAAAAAAAAAAAAAAAAGTAATACAATTAAAACGTTGTGATAAATTAAAAATTATTTTTTTAGTGTATATAACTTGTCTTAATAACGGTTATTTTTAAGGGTTGAAATATTCTGAAATAGTTTTCTAAAGCATTTAACAATTATTACTCAACTTATCCGAGCCAAATTGTCAATAGGGGTAGTTTTCACACTTAAAAAATGAAAGGCACCCATCGGCATAATATAGATTTTGAAGTGTAGCACTCTCTCTTTTAAAATTATAGCTTTTATTAAGGAGAAAGACAAAATTTAAATACAATTTTTCCTCCTCCAATAAGTATTAAAGAAATAGAGAGGTTTAAATGAATTTCTGTCAACCTTAACGAGAACTGGTCTGAAAACAAGCAGCATCTCTCTACAGCACTACGTACGAAATTTGACGATATTTGAACGAAATAATCGGTTCTGTTACATTCCGTTCCAAAATTAGGAATTATTCATTCAATCATAAGGCAGACAGAGGGATTATTTAAAACTCTGCTACATTTTCAATAATAGAATATTGGTAACTTGGTATTTTACATTTTCCATTAAATTTTATGTTTCATGTTATACCAATCCCTAATTATAAAGACATGCATTCTTGAACAATGCATCCCGAGAATTATATTAACAGCTTTCCAAACCTGCTAGTTAATGCGGAAATGATGACAAAACTGCTCAAAGAATTCAAAAATTGGTTGATTTAACTTTTTATTTATCCGGGCTGAAGGGGTGCATTGTACCAATGATAACCAAGCCAACAGCGTGTCAACTTGAGTAGTTAAGAAAAAGAGTACTTCGAAAGATCGGAGAATGAATCAGTAAATATTGCAGAGTGGAAACGCGCAATAATGCCTACCTGCATTGCTCTGAAGAATTTTTACCATATTTGATCGCTTACGCTTACAAATTGTTATTCCTCATTCATCGGACAGAGATCCGCGCTTTATGGTGGTATAGACAGTCGATAGGTAAACAAGATATGGAGATTGAAATACGTCACTGGTACCAAACTGTCAATTTCAAAACAATTTACACACGCAAATAGTCGATGTAAAATCACTTACATAAATTCTAACATCTTGATCTTTCGCTGGTTCAGTGATCCTATTTTTAAACAAATCGGCCATTCACTAATCTTAAGTGGGCATTACAATATCATTTGACTCATGGGAAGATACGGAACCTCTCAATTTTACACACCACTCGCACACACAAATTAAGTGAAACTATTCTTTAAAAACATACCTCACTTTTAAGATCTCGAAAGCAATTATTGCTACTGTTAATTACACACGTAGACCGCATACGAAGACTAGAAACTGACATTTTAAATGCGCCTACTTGTTATCCTTATCTGCCAAAATATTTGTATTGCACACAGCGCAGTTATCTAACTTGTAATGAAAATTGGTTAGGAAAGTTCGTGTTTTGTACTGTACAAATGGAGTGGAATGGTGGTCACATTTGGCTTGGAAGGTTGAATATGTAATTACTGGTCATTGTATGCTTATTTAAGTATATTGAGGAATGTATCTCATTTACGTAAACATCTTCCCCATAGAATTTTTAATATTTATTTACCATTTTCTTACGAACGCACCAACAAATTTCTATAGAGTGGATTACTCTGGGGATTTGGCTTGTATTTTACCAGTAAGTGGTGGTCATCAGTTCAAGATATGATTACCGTTGTTGGAATGTCATCGCTTTAAAAAAGCATGCCATACGTACCTAGTTATTATAACTACGAATTGGAAAGATTCAAATATGGTACGTATTACTTTTATCGTACATTTTTGTTTCACAAATAACGATTAGAACTTCTGCTTTAGTAGTAATAAAATTAATCAACAATCAGTATACTTGACCTCTGTGTATAAGACGCTTGATTGATCATTGTTCATATTAATAGGATGGAAGGTTTCGTTAAATTCCTGTTCGTCGCAGTTTCATTCAATCAGGTGCGTGTACCTCATTGAACCGACTTGCATCCAATCTCAAAATTTTAGATTTTTGGAGAAACGAAGTATGAAATTTCTCTCGACAATAACGATTTGGAGTGCATAAAGGAACTCGCACTAGTGAAGGAGGTAGTCTTATCCTCATTTGGAGAAAATTTTAAAGTGGACGAGGGTAACAGGGATAATTACGAATTTATGAAGTGCTCGTTTCGCAAGTCGGGCTACATCACCGACAATAACCACATTAACGTGACCGGTATAAGGAAGTGGTTAAGTCAATGGGATTTAAGAGATTTACACCAGGAGCTCGAAGTAAATAACGTCAAAGATCTGAATGTGCTTATCGACGAGTGTTTGAAGAAGTGTGTTGTAAACGAGTACTTCAACGAAGACGAAATTGCACTTAAAACTTATAACTGCTTGCTTGATTGCTTGTTATGGAAACGTTTATATTAGTATAATGCCAGTAGGCAGGTTACATAATTTAGTAGGCATTAAATTTATTGGATCATTCTCTTTGATATAAACCTCTAATAATGGTGTTCATGAATCGTTCAGTATGTTTCTTTGATATATAAATTTCACGACTAGCACTGGACTTTATAATCAATAATATTTATTAATTTCCGTGGATAACGTTGCAATGTATAGGATGCGTCATATAGATGCATCCTATATACAATTTTATATAGCATATAAACACTGACATTCACGTAAATCAATAGGGAATAAAGACAATTCAAAATCAGGTAGGTAGGTACTCTTTTAGGCTGTTTTTTCTTTGGTTCATTCCCACCTACAGTATGGTGTAACATTATGGGGGAATTCCTCCAAAGTAAACAAGATATTTATATTGCAAAAAAAAAAAAATTCGTATCATAGTAGGAGCCGAATATCTTGCTCATTGTCAACCATTTTTCAAGGAATTACGTATCATGCCGCTACCATGTATTTTCATTTACGCAACATTATTGGATATACATAAAAACAAGCGTCACTTTGCAACAAATGACTATTCTCATAATTACGGTACTCGAGGCGCAAAAAATATAAGGGTTCCTTATTACAGATTAAGCAAATCAAAAAATAATAGTCCAAGAGTTGTACAAACTATCTTCCAGATCCTGTTAAATGTCAACAATTCAATCAGTTTAAAAATACTATTAAGAACCATCTTCTGAACCACTGCTTTTACTCTGTAAGCGCATACCTAAACACACCCTGTGATTTAATGTAAAATACCTTCTACTGTTTTAAAAAATGTACTATTGTTAATGAATTAGTTAATGAATAATTTTATTGTTGTATTATACTTGCATGTATCAATGTATTTGTTTGTTATTTTATGTACCTATATGTGTATTTTTTTTTATTGGATGCTATGTGTCAATGACGTGTCGAAGCCAAGGATTGGTGGAATGACAAATAAAGATTATTATTATTTTAAAAGCGTTAAGATTCACTATTTGTCTTATTGATTATGGTAAATTGTTGTACTTTTGGACCCATGATTGTCGAGTTAGTTTATGTTTATATCTTTTGATATACCGTGTGTTCCAGGGAAAACGTACCATAGGGAAACAGAATTAATGTATTATTTCACGAAGGATCACGACGCCTGTGGTATGTATTCGAAGTTAGTGTTAAACGTACATTATTGCGCTTGCCTGATGCTAGAAAGAGATCGGAATTGTACGTTGAACGCTAATTTTAAAGGTCTCGTGGATCCTTCGCGAAAAAATTGTCGTTTCCCTGTGGTGCGTTATACCTGGGACACACTGTATAAATCTCTATTTACCATTTTATTGTATTAAATCGGTGTTATCTTCCATGTTACGGTAATTAAAGGTCTCAACAAAAGAAACTATTTTCTACCAACTACCCCCCCTTACCTCTGTTACCTCTTAACAAAATTGATGGGAAGAGCAATGTCTAGGCAAAACATATCTAATGGGAGAGTTAACACTGTGCAAAAATATCGAGAATGGAGTGTCCGAAGATGTTACTCACAAAGAGCGATTCTAACATTTGTACGAGACATATTTATGGATGATGTGAAAGCTTCAAGTACGAATATCTCGAGAATGAATTATCGGATGAGGTACTGACAACGAGAAAATGGAACGTCTGGACGAAACTCGGTAGGTTATAAGTTTAAGTGTGAATAGCTAGAGAACGGCGCCGGCGTGCCATTGGTGCAGTCAAAGCTTTGAGTGGGAATCGTGTCAAAAGAGAGTACTAATATAGAGCGGTTGATTTAGAACGTTTTGTTCTAACACGTCTATTGGTGAGGTCAACATGTTACATATCTTGAGAACGGAGCCGGAGGAGAAGGGAACCCACGAAGGAAAAAGAGAACGTTTGAACAAGACATACCTATTGGTGATGTCAAAATGAATCCTTCGAAAAAGGAGTGTTGAAAGAGGGAAGGAACGTCTGGATGAAACATATCTATTGGCTACGTCAGTTTAAGTGCGAATAGTCGATAACAGAGTGTCGGAGGGGAGTACTCACAGAAGGAAAATGGAACAATGATATGGATGACAGTGTGACCAATTTAGACAAAATTTAAATTAGTTAATATACTTTAATCATTATTGGTTTTAAAGGCAACTTTTGTGCGAGGATGCTCAAATTAGTAATATTCACGGGGTCTTCATTTCAAATGCTTTACCCCGGTCTATGAGGAAATTTCGTCAGGGTGTTAAATGTTAAATAATACGCTTTATCTGCACAAGAGTTGTGCACAATGTGTACTTGTTAAGCATTATATACACCAACCGACTTGATAGAGTTTCACCAATAACAAACTCCGTACCTTAACCTACACGTTACTTTTACTTCAGCATGTTTTAATATTTACAACATTGAATTCCGTATTTTGTATTGTCAAACAGGCGTCTAGACCATCTCTTTTCGGTATATGAAGCTCATAAACTTGGTTTGGTCGAGGTTGAAATACAGTTGGCTTACGGCAAATATTTTGTTAAATTTATTAGAGCTCAGAACTCGATTGCAGGTTTGTTCTAAAAATTGGAAACCTCCTCTCCTGGTTAAATTGAACCTCATAATTTAACCAGATATTTTTTTTTAATTTCAATGAAATATGTGTTTACGTAGTGAAAACTGCTTCGCAAATATGTCTTCATTCGAATCATCGATACATCACCACCAAAAAATGTATGAGAGCGAGTTCATAAAATTTTCCGAAGAATGTCTCACTAATTTTTGATTTACGGGGGGGGGGGCACGGTTTGAGGAGTTTCCCCCTATACCATACACGCTATACCCTATACTGTATACTTTATACTCAATATTCTATACGTAAGATAACATTGTTAGGACCGAGCCAAAGAAGAGGTAACGCTGCTTGTATTATTGTATACTCTTGTACGTATTCTGCAGTGCATTATCATCACCCTGTACAGGCTCTTGATAATTTTTTTAATATTTTTATGTATTACTTTAATCTTAATTTACCTCTAACCCTGGTAAATTCTAAGAGTAAACGTAAATGGATAACTCCGAAGCTTTATGAATTACAACAAAAGGTCATAGATTTAAAAATTAATTTCATTGTACTTCTCAAAACTTCATTCTCAGAGGTGGGTTTCACTGTCAACCAAGCACAATCCGATGCAGACACTCTCATTGTTCGTTCTGCTTTTGTCGCACAAATGATTCGCCAAGTCAGTGCCAAAGAGTACATTCAACTTGTCTTCACTTCCTCCAACGCAAGATACAGTCCGCTTTCACAGCTTCCGAGTCTACCATCAAGTCCAGTCGTGGTTGGGTAATTACGACGACCCTGAAGACCCAGTGGACAAATGGACAAATAATATTGATAATAATAATATTTATTCAAACCACTTTACAATAAATATAATTTTGTTAGTGCCAGTACAAAGCTCAAAACCCCCCTGTGCTTCTGAAGTTGATTTTCTGCCGATGCAAAGGAAACTGTGGAGCAGTGTGTGGATGTCGGAAAGCAGGTCACAAGTGTTCTGCAGCGTGCCTTCATGGTTCGGGGGAGACTTGCAGCAACATAATGCACATATCAAAATTAATTGAAGAAAATGATTTTGAAGATGAACCGCCGACAATGACGCCATTTTCTTCTCTGGTTTTCCCTCAACTATTTGATAATGAAAATCAACAAAATTATGATTGGCAGCCTAGTCCATAAAAAAAACCAAGGAAGTAATAATCGCATGTCCTTTAGATTTTAGAACATTAGGAAGTTACGTTAAAATCATTAATATTTATGTATAGTTTAATACTTAGGCGCTATAAAATCTTAATGAATGAATAAAATTGAAAAAGTTTGTAATGAAAATTATTCCTTGAAAACCCCTCTATTAAAATGCTCTAACGTCGTTTTTTTTGTAAAATGACCAGAAAAAAAAGTTATAACGACCAAATGAAAATTCTTTTCAAAATGTTCATCAATTTCCGTTTATAACTTTGTTATTTTTGGTTCTACGACTAAAAGTTACTGGACCGAAGTTATAGAGAATTTTATTTTTATTCAAAAATGTATGAATAAATTTTTTGTGAGACCAATAGTTTGCCAGATAAACCATAAAAACCGGGACAAGGGCTGCAACCCCACAAACTTGGATTTAACTTTAGACTAACCTCTCCTTGATATCTAAAAAATAAAATTGCGTCCTCTGACAAACGCACGCTAAACCCAAAAAAATGTAACATATCAATGCACTAACCGGTATTTTTCCGAATCGTCTAAAGATAGCGATCGTAAGGCCACTTTTAAAAAAAGGAAATCCAAGTGACGTCTGCAACTACGGGCCGATCAGCTTACTGTCCAGCTTTTCTAAAGTAGGTGTTTTTGTTGATTTTTCTGGTGCTTTCGACACTGTTTGCCATGACAAGTTGATTAGTAAGTTATCCCATTACGGTATTCGAGGAACTATTCTAAAATTGTTTGAATCCTACTTACGGGACAGATCGCAGCTAGTTGAATTACCTAATGGGTAGCGCAGTGTAGCAACGTCAATCTTGTCAGGGGTCCCGCAAGGATCCATACTGGGTCCTACTTTATTTGTCATTTACAGTAATGATCTCGTAGCTTTTGATAAAGAGAGTTATCTTAATCATGATTCATCTTAATAAAGGCAAACAGTGCACTAGATTTAAAACAAAAAATTACTCACACGCTAGATCAAATAAATAAGTGGTTCAATTATACTAATTTGGTCATTAATTCCAGTAAAACTGCCGTGATCCCTTTTGATGCCACAAGAATTGAATCCAATACTTTGAAGGGCTCCGATACTATTAAAATGCTCGGTCTAACAATAAGCCATGATCTCACCTGGTTTTTTCATATTGATAATGTTTGTAAACTTGCACGAAGCTGTTGTTATATTACTCTCGCCAGGAAAGATTGCCGGTCAAAGCACACCTTGTGTCGATCTACAATCTATGTTTTTCTTAAGATCCTAGCGACTTTTGGAATAGGATCGTGCTAATATGGAGCGAAAAGTCTTAATTAAATACAATTTAAAAAATGTTGGTCATACACAATACAATGGACAAAAAAGAAAGAAAGCAATATAAATTACACTAGAGATCCGCAATTTTTATCAATACAATTTAGAAATTCATCAATTGTATATGGTGCATTGACTAGAAGAAATTTTTTTAAAGAAGTTTTAAAGCACTTTATTGTTCCCTCACTTCTAAGTGTACTTGGAAGAGCATTAAATAATTTAATGCCCATTGACGTGGGAGAATTATGGGCAAGTTTAAGCCTTGTTAAAGGGGTGGATAAATTGTTGTTTATTGCGCGTGTTGTAATTATGAAAACTGCGCTATGGCGTAAGAAATGTTGCTGATTATGGAAAATAAAAGTTAACAATTCAAGTATATAGAGTGATGAAAGTGTAAGAATATTCAATTTTTTAAATATCGGGCGACACGAATCAAATTTCTTACTACCCGCAATACACCGGACTATTCGTTTTTGTACCAGAAAAACATTTTTTGCCGCGCTTGACGAGCCCCAAACAATTATTCCATACGACAATCTGGATTGAATTTGAGCATAGTAATAATTTAAAGTATGGTTCACATCCATTAATTCTTTAAGATTCCGTATCTGGTAGCAATAAGTGTTTAGTCTTTTAATAAGATTTTCGCAGTGACATTTCCAATTTAAGTTTTGATCTAAATAGATCCCCAGAAACTTCCCAGTGCCTAGAATATTAATGTTTTTGTTGCTTGAGTCAGACAAATGGTTATTTCCAAAAGTTGTAAACGGTAGGAAAAATGTTTTATCGTGATTTAAGAATAATTTGTTAAAATTAAACCAATTACTTAGCTTATTTAGAATCTCAACAGCTTTTGGATATATATTTTCTTGCTTCTTTCCGGATATTAATGCCGTCGTATCATCCGCATATAAAACCAAGCAATTTAAGAACATGACAATATCATTAATAAATAATAAAAATAAAATAGGTCCTAAAACAGAACCTTATGAAACCCCCATATTAACAGGCAAAGCTGTGGATAAAAATTTTGCAATAGTGGAACCGGTTTTAAATTTAATTTCTACTTGTTGACACCTTCCAGAGAGATATGATGAAAACCAATTGGCAACAACGCCTCTGATACCGTAAGTATTTAATTTTTCCAACAGTAACAAGTGATCAACAGTATCAAAAGCCCTGCTGAGGTCACAAAATATAGCAAGGACATTCTGTTTTTTATCAAGAAGTGAAATGATGTCGTTAACAAAGGAGTTAATGGCAGTAATTGTCGATTTCCCATTGCAGAACCCGTGTTGTTTATTACTTACAATGTTATATTTAACAAGGTGACTACTTAGCCTCTCTAACATGGCGTATTCAAAAACTTTTGACAGCGCCGAGCTAACAGAAATTGGTCTGTAATTCGAGCAATCTCGAGAGCAACCTTTTTTGTGAACGGGATGTACGGTTGACAGCTTAAGTTCTTTCGGGAGGACAACCTTTGAAAAGGGCATATTGACTAAATGTGTGACAGGTTTTATTATAATATGCAAACTTGACCTAAGCAAAAAACTAGGTATATCATCGGAGCCCGAGGAATGTTTATTTTTTATGCTTTTTTTAAAACCATTTAATAATTCCGTTTCACTAAAAGGCAGTGCACACATACTTTCGCGAATAATCATATTACACTCAAAGTTGCTAGTCGAATAAATGTTTCTTTTTATAGAATGTTGAATATTTTGAGGGCCATTAATAAAATTCTCATTAAAAGTATTTGCAATTGTTTGTGGATCGTCAATGATTGTTTCTGAATTTTTAAGAGTGATATTTTTGTGCGACTTTTCATTATTGTTAAGTATAGATATAAGGCGCCATACTGTTTTATTTTTATTATCGGAGGATTTGATTAAGTTACCATAAAACGATTTCTTACAATTCATAATGTATTGCCGGTATTTACATTTGTGTGTTAAATAAAGTTTTTTAAGCGCGGGATACATTTTTTGGAGGTGGTAAGTTTTTAAGATCTTGGCTAAGCTTTTTAACGGTGCTGTTTACCCATCCTTTTTTCACATATGAGGTATTACGTTTTAAAATTTTGGTCTCTGGGAACGATGAATTGAAATGAGAGACAAAAGTATTGTAAAATACAGTAAACGCATCATCGAATGTAGTAGCAGAATTTAAAGTTAACCAGTTCTGACTTCTGATTCTCCAATAACTAATGAAAACGAGAGATAGAAGCTGGCGTTAATTTTCTACCGTACATGACCCGAATATCTGATTGCCAGAATTAAGACTGTAGCTGGACAAATGAAAGCTAGGCAACACATCAATAGCCTTCCATATACGATTAGCGATAGCCCACATTAATTCGAATTTAAATTTTTCCGCAAATCATCGATGACCCCACTTATCAACAGCGACCCAATTATCAATAATTAAATAAGAAAATTCAGTAAACATATTCCGATTATATCCTAGTACCTTCTTGTACCGTCTCCATCTCAAAAACATAAGTCCTGGGCCATTGCATGCGTAAAACCTGGTTGCTCTAAGAGAAATGAAGCGATACCTCCTCATCATTGTTTGTTACTTAACGTGCGTGAATAGCGAAAATTACATCGAAGGTCTTTAGAGTAGCGTGTTGGCCGAGATTTACGTTTCCATTTTCAGACTACTGCTGGCGAGATTACAACGGCGAAACTCCCTTGGATGCTTACAAGTGCGGCACCGATCGCAATGGAGATCCAATTTACGTTGGTCAAGCTTTGTTCGAGAACAAGCTGATTCCTGGCAAAATTCACTATGGCGACACGAAAGTACACTTCGAATTCTACAGAGCGTACACAGCAAACGAGAGCGTAAAGGTAAGGAAATGTTACAAAGTTCATGGTCCAAGATAAATGGTTACAGATATTATGTGCACGTCACCCAGAAAGATTTCAGTGGATTAAAGTGAAATATTATGAAGTCTTCCGAATGACTGATAAACATTTCTTTCAAGGCGGCTACGAAAAAGGCTACGATACGTACATTGGCAGAGCACAGTCCCATGGAGAATTAACCGTTGGAAAAGTAATATGCAGTCAAACAAATTGCATAAGACTGACTACAATCGAAAACGGATCTTGGTATGACCACGACGAGTTCGAAATTCTCGCTTACAACCCGGATGCCGTACTTTACCAAAATCCGTATCTCGTGGAGGGAGCGCAAACGTTTGTACCTTATTTATTATTACTTCTAATGATTATATTCCTATTAGCCATTCTATTTATTACTCTTAGACGATGTTAACCGTTATGCAATGTTTTGGAATTGATCCTGTGATAACATGTGACCTAGGAAATTTTTGTTGAAAATCTTTAATTTATGCAAAAGAAATTTGCATTTACAATTGTTATTCTTCATAATACTACATATAAGGTGAATGGAATTAAAAACTTAATATTGTAGAGTATTCAAAGACAACCTCATTAAAGCTAATGATTAAACTGAGTTGTTTTACAAAATTCCACTTAGTTGGGCACTGCATCAAACTCTTTGTTAAACCAGAAGATTCTCATAAAGTAAGGGATATGTTTCAGATTATTATGTATTTTTAACAAACTAAAACAATAGAATGTGAAATGAAAACGATTTCTTACATAATAGGAATTCTTATGTCCACCAGTGGTTAACGTAAATGTTCGAGAGTTATATAAGACTTTTAAATATACCACTTACTTTATGATCACCCCATACATGTAACTCGATCTGCTATAACAGCAATAAATACAAAGGTCCGCTTGACCAGAAGTAATGGAATAAGTCGAGCGCGTATTCAAAGAGGTATGTACGTAACATCCATCACAACCATCGGCAAGTACGTGGCGAGATCGGCGGATTCCAACTGGTCGTTGTACTTTAGGAAGGGTTGCGCATTACGTTTTCTGTTTCGTTTGGCCCTTTTGCCTAGTACGTAAGTCCTTCGCAGCACTTAACCCTTCCACACAAGGAGGACGACGACGAACACGGCACTACAAAGCATGCTAAAGTTTGTTTACAATTTCCATAACAAGGGTAAAATTGTAGCATCGATAAATTGCGATCTCTCCAAGGCTTTTGACTTGGTAGATCCGGAATTACTGCTGTCAAAACTCCGTGCGCACGGAATTAGAGGCGTACCGTTAAATTTATTAAAATCGTTTGTTAGTGACAGATATCAATATGTTGTAATTGACAAAGTCTATAGTTCGGGACAAATAGTTGAAGTAAAGTCACAAGTACGACCTGTGAATTATGGTGTGCCACAAGGCTCCATTCTCGGTCCTACTTTATTTATCATATACATGAATGATTTGCCAAATAATTTAATAGATACGTGTCACATTTGTACTTATGCAGATGATACTAGTGTAACTATTGCCTGCAGTCAAAACGACTTAAAATTCACCTTAAACAAATCTTTGGCACAACTAATCAACTGGTTTAATGCAAACAAACTTTTAATTAACGTTGAGAAAACTAATGTACTTGTCTATAAGAAAAATTCAACTTCTGTTATTTCAAACATATCCTACGAATCGACAATAATCGGAACAAGTAATTCCTGTAACTTTCTCGGAGTTATATTAGACCGAAATCTCAACTGGAAGGAACACATTGAACAACTACAATCAAAATTACACCAATCAATTTTTGCGCTCTCGCGCTGTAGACAGTTCTGCAATAAAGATACGCTAATCAAAGTGTACTATGCTCTTTTTGAAGCGAAAATGAGATACGGAATCCTACTGTGGGGAAATACCAATAAAAATTTAATTAGCGACATTTTCAAAACTCAAAAACGGGCGCTTCGGACAATATTCTCGCTACAGCGAATGGAAACCTGTAAGCCGTACTTTCAACAGTTCCGCATTCCTACTCTGTATAGTTTGTATATTATTGAATCTTTGTGTTATGTTTTTAAAAATAAGGCATTATTCTCCTTTAATTCCGATTACCACAAATATAATACAAGATCAAAAAATAATTTTGCAATAACCGCCTCCAAAAGTAAAGTGTATGACACATCACATCTACAAATGGGTCTACGATTTTACAATGCTCTCCCTAGAAATATCAAATCTATATCGGCATTCGTCCCATTTAAAAATAAAATTCGGAAAATACTTAACACAATGGCACCATATTCACTGGAAGACTTCTTCACAAATATCGCAATTTATTAACTGTACTTTTTTATCGAAATTTTTATATACATTTAATATTGTTATGTTGTTGTTTGTTTGATCTATATTATAGTCTATTTACATTTTATCTTTATACATTTATATGAAGTTGTAATTGTTCCAATGTTATACCACAAAAGTGGTTCAATAAACGATCTCTCTCTCAAGGTTACCGACGGGAACCGGGAACCACGAGGAGGTAGCTGCTCGGAACTATGACTCTTGCCAAACTTATTATGTACACCACTACGGAATTTCTTTGGTTCAATAGCCTCACGTTACCGCTCACGTTACTCCAACAAAAACTATTGGAAGTCACCTCTGAGGAGGTTCCTGTATTTTAACTAGCCTTTCGATAGTCAACGAGTTTTTCTTTCGCACAAGTTCTTAGATACGTGCAATCAAAATTTTCTCAAGTTATCACCTTGGGGATGCTCACAACAGGCAACGAAGTTATAAGTAAAGACCATTATCAGTTATCAGCACACATTCATACAGATTCATTTCAAACATAGTGATTCTTAGGGATTACTGTTTCAGTTGTAACCTGCCATTACACAGTCAGTATCTTGAAAACGGTAGAAGTAGTAGGAACGGCCCAACGGACAGAGGAAGTAGCTGCGACAACGCATAGAACTTTGTCAGAATATGTACTCAGTGCAGACGCCACTGAAATGCGTTTTCTTAAGTCTAGCCGATAGAATAAATTGCATAAAACGATAATAATCGACTATTATGTATGAAACTAATGCGTTTGGGCGTTTTCACATCAAAATTGGTTAATGTCGATTTGTATTATTGCTTTAAAAATCAAAACTGTAGTAGGTAGGATCATGCAATCGCCAAGATGTAGCCTATTTCATTGGAAAATAGCAAAACGCATTGTTTCGGACATAAATAAAAACATAAATAAAACATGAACGTTGCCTGAAAAAGCCCTAGCGAAAGAAGTCGTAAAAGATGATGTGGTAATTGCAGAATACAAGATCCAAACGTAAACAAGTATAAGTTGTGCATAACTCCTGTGCAGATAAAGCGCATTTTTTTAACCGAAATAGCTTTTGTTTCTGTTGTTGTATTTCTTGCAGACGTAATCGCCCTTTGTGAGTACCCTCTTCCGACAATCCGTTCTTGAGGTATAAGGGAATATACCAGAACACGAGGTCGAGGAGGAGGGCTATGGTTGGTAGAAATTAATTCCTTTCGTTGAGACCTTTCAGTAGAGTACCATGAAGGATAAAATTAGTTCGACCTGCGTAGCTCAGGTGAGTTTACGTTAGAAGCCCTAACTTTGGCTACAAGGGTCCTGGGTTCGAATCCCAGATAAGGCATGGCTGTTTGTGAATTTTGGGATAAGTGGGAAGCTAATTAGCTAACACTCCGTCCACTATAAAATAAAGACAATCAATTAAAAATACAATAAAATGAATGCGAGAGTGCTAATGGAAGAAACTTGTAAGACATGATTAAATGAAGCGTAAAGGAAAGAAACATGAACCAGAAAGGCGTGGAGGAAGCAGGCGTAGATAAGGCGTGAAGGAAAGTAACTAAACGCAGAGGAGTAGAAGTAGAAGTGAAAAACGCGTCCAGGGTCGTGGAGGAAAGAAGACTGTCGCGCGCAAATATACACGGGAGCGCGAAGAATGCCTGAAGAGAGCAAGCGGCAGGCACTAGAGAGGGGTAAGCGTAACATTAGAAGGTTTAAGGCAATCGTAAAGGAAATAGACATGAAGAAGTGGATTTAAAAAAAGGCATAAAGAAAGGAAGCGTAAGAAAATCGTGAAAGATGCATGCCTTGAGGGAAAAGGCGTCCAGTAGTAGAAAGGCTCCGGTTGCGTCAAGTAAAAGAGAGAGGGCTCCACCGAAGCAGCGAGACCCAGTGCCGTTGCGACGGAGGGGGCTCAATCCCTCGCTATCGACCTCGAAGAGGCGTCGGGATTACTACCGGCAGGTTTTTATTAAGCACAAATAAATAAATAAATTATCCAAGCAATTGGCAGCACAGTAAAGAGGCGACCTGTTTAATAGGCCGTCAAGTTGCCGTAAATCAGACAGGCGTATTCATCATACAAAAACCTTGGGTTTGTAAGAGACGGTTGCGATGTTTGCGCCAGGTGGAGGACCATCTTTATTATAGAGGGATAACCAACTCTGAACCCTAGGACTTGCATTTATGTCGATAGAAGAATAAAGTCTTATCTAATGGCTGATCTCTGTTTCGAAGATTTCGTAGCTTTAAAACTTCAGCTGAAAGATGGCACAGGACGGAGCAAGCACTTAATGATTTGCTCAGCTTATCTCCCGTACGACTCGGAGGAAGCTCCATCGACTGGAGAGCTGGCTGAGTTGGTCGAAATAGTGGTCTCCAATCTCCATCTTGTGGTTGGCTGTGATGCAAACGTATTGGGTGGGGCAGCACGAACACGAACTCGCGGGGAATGTTTTAAATAAGGGAGCAGCCCTTCTTTCGCCACGACGCGGAACCAAGAGGTTATCGATCTGACATTGGACTCTTTTTCAATAGATCGCATGATCACGAATTGGAGAGTGTCTGATGAGCCGCCCCTTTCGGACCACAGGCGCATTGTCTTTAACTAAACCTGGCATCCAACCGCGGACCCGGTAAGTTCCCCGATCTACTGACTGGGTCTACTATGTGGCGAAACTGTCAGAGCGATTGGATGGACCAACTTTGCTCTGTCAGAAAGCAGATCAGGTGGAAGAGGCGGCCGCATTAGTGAGCAATGCCATAAGAGCGAGGAACAAAGAGAACGCCTTGGTGGAATATGACCATACGAACTCAGTTGCCTGCGGACTGGGAAGATCTTAAGATCGGTCAGCGCAGGTATAACGACCGATAAAGTCTAAACGAAGATCTCACATATCTCCTGGAAACACACTTTCCAAGCTCTGAGAACTACGTCACTTCGGAGCCACCGAAAGGAGGGACCCGGATCGGTGTAAGGAAAAAAGGATAAGGAATAAGAATCGGGATGAGGTGAGAATTAGTTGTATTTGTATTATGAGATGATGCAGTGATAATGATTGGACCAAGTGGGTGATGAATTTTTATGCAATGCAATGAAGGAAATCTTTCTTATCGCTAATAAAACATACAACAGAGCATGGCCTAATAAGATATTTAGGCCATGCAACAAAGCATGGTCAGAACTGAAAAAGAAAAGCTATTCGCACAGATTATCTTTCAGGTGTCGGATGGTGGACCACACAATAAAAATTAATGTACTACGCCAACTTACGTGAATCTGCTCAGATGTCACACCAAAACAATAAACAGTGTAAAACACAAATATCAATTAGTCTTAGAAATATCAACTTTAGATGTATTTAACTGTTGTATGTAGGTCATTGATATACATTGCGACAGTTGCTCTATACAAAGCATTTACTATTCATTGCTAAAACAAAACTGATACGAGTAAGCAAACTAAACTGGCGCAGTACTTTCTGCCTAGCTGTTATTCTTTTAATGCTAATACAACATGAACATTCTTTTGTTGTTAACTTTCGTACACCCATTGGTATACCAGGTAAGACATAAGTATGTACAAATCTTCAACATTACATAAAATTTTCTTATTCAGATATTCGCGTTGCGAGACGTAATGGACGACTTATCCCAGGGAATGGCAAAATGTTATGAGAGATTAAATGAGAAAGAGTCGATCGTCGTAAGCGAAAGTGACAAAGATGAGTATCTCAAGGAAAACAGTCCCATCATAAACCAATTTTACGAGTGTTCCTTTAAGGAGGGCGGTTTCGTAGATGGCAATAACAAAATCGATTTCTACCTGTTAAAAAATGCCCTGCTGCGCGATCCGAGTTTTTCAAAGAAGGACGTAGACAGGGCTCTTCTTATTTGCAAAACGAGTAAAGGTGTCGATTTAGGTGCCGATATCGTTAAACTGTTAAATTGTTTAGCTCGAAATAAAGTTCTGCATTAAGCCGGTCCTTTTTCCTAGTCAAACTTTCTCTTTTTGAAACACAATTGCCACCACTGACCCCCGACTTTCACAAATCCAAGTTGCGGTTAAAGAAAAATTGTGTCCGTGAAATCAAATATTGTTATATTTTTGAATGTCTAGACAGTGTGTTGCTCCTATGCTAATTGCGACAGGAATAGCAATAAGATTCATGGCTGTCAATTGTCAAAGTTAAAGGTCAAAGTTCCTCGAAATGTTCTCCAAAATTGAATATTTTTCGGAGAACTCTGAAGGAGTGATCTTCAATTGCACAAACAAGAAGGTTTGGAAAACATCGTGGCATCGTCCTGCCCCTGGAAGAATTAATTTTAAAAGAAAATTAATGGTGTCATGGTTACATACTCTTCGAATCGATGGCTTTATCTCTGTTTCCGGAAACAGGAACTGGTCATATTAATAATCCACAATACCTAATTCGTAATTCCTTTTTTAACGATGATTTACGGGAACCGTGGATGAATCTCACTACCATGTCACGTTATTAATTTCGAGTGCTTCCGACCGAACTTCTTATTATACATATAAACGATATAATCGTCCCACAAGGGAAATATTCAACATGGGGTCCTTCGATTGGTGTTTGTTTCTGAATTGACTATACTGTGGAGTAGCTCTCACCTTAGCATTACAAGTTCTACCCAAATGGATGACATTCTCGAGAAAAAGGAAGCATAATCTTAGAAGACTAAGAAACTCACTACTGGACAGACAAGAGTTCCATAGTGTCAACCAGGAACCTGGTGAGTTAGTAGGCCATTATTTCACTACACTCACAGCTGTATATATTTTTTATTACCACTTTTCCTGTTTGTACTACTGGTAGGCTATGTAGCGGGAAATTCAAAAAACTAACATGCGGTTCCGCTACACCAATCCCAGAAAGGTCTTGGATCTAAATTCAAATCTCAATCCGAAACAACCACATCCACCAACGACTATCTAACGAAAATCCCGATGAAAATTGAACTGATCGAAGGTTCCATTAGTACTAGCGGTATACCAAAAGATACTGCATTTTCTTATACCAAGGTGCCACTTGGTACAGCTGTTCCTTAGAGCCATTTAGACGTTTTTGCCCGAAGAACACTTGACATTTTCCGTGTGGGTAGATTTTAGAGGGGGTGGGGGTGATTTATTGTAAAATTTTTTTAAAAACTAAATATGGCCTAGAGACGAGATCTGGGTGTCGATACTGTATGATTTTAACCCGAGGAATCCAATGGTAACGCCAGAAATGTAATCCGGATACAGGAAGTCCGTGAAAAGCCGCCATTTTTAGAAAATGGCAGACTTTTGATCGAATTATATTTCTAAGGCACACCGGGTCGTGTAAAGTGTCTAGACTTATGTTTTTGGGGTCAGGGAATTCATTTATGATAACAAAAATAACCTACTGACATCGGAACTGCATGAGAGGCTTCCCTACTGCACTTTTTGAAGACGTCGCACGCGGTGAAACCCAAGATATTCCAAAGTTTTAATACCTATATAAATTTGTAATATTTTATTTAATAAAAATACACATTAACAAAACATAAAATATATTAAAAACATGGGGTAAAAAATGTATAAGCCTATGAAGAATCACCAAGTACATCGCTGACTTCCTCTGAGATTGCGTTATCACCACTGAAAAGGAATTTTACATATAAATATTAAAGGTTCGGTAGTAAATTATATCGAAAGTATACAATATTCTTACCCTTTGTTTGAGCAATCTCCCATACATTTTTGGCACGCAGGGGAACATGGTAATCCGTGTCGCCGCAGCACGAGTTGGAGGAGCACATAAGGAGGACGGCGTGTGTCGCTGGCCATATCTGGGTATGTGCAAACCAGTTGATGAGAAGCTCTACAAGTCCAGAAGGATGGGGATGGACTCTTGAAGCCAAAGGCTGGAAAGTTCTGTAGCCCAAGCTGCCACAAGTATGGAAGGCAGTCCGTGCTCTGGACAGGTGTGGCTGCGAGACCCTTTAGTGCAACTACCGGCGACACGGATTGCCATGTTCCCCTGCATGCCAAAAATGTATGGGAGATTGCTCAAACAAAGGGTAAGAATATTGTATACTTTCGGATATACCTAATTTACTACCGCACCTTTAATATTTATACCGGGTGAATATTCCCAAAACACTGAGAGAAAAGAAGGCATTTATTATTAACATAGTAACATTTCGACCCAAAAAGTTTACCTGTAGCATTTGACTCTAAATAATAACAATTGAATAATTGTAATAAGACAATATATATAATAATAACCCAATGACAAAAAAATATATGATTGACTCAAATACTGCTTACGGTAAAACCATTTTCTTGACACCAATAAATAGTAAGATATGCATAAGGACATGGTGCCATTTTTTAAAAACAACCTAGCTACGTCTTACTTATTAGACGAACATATTATACTTAAGGCTAACTAAATATGTTTTTCTGTATCTTTAATATACTGGGTAAATAAATCATAATGCGATTCCAGCAATCAACTGTATTCTAATTATTAACTTACGAACGGTTGTAGTGAACTTTCGAATCTTATAGTATATTTCACAATGCTATAATGCAAGGCTTAAAGTCAGCGATGTACTTGGTGATTCTTCATAGGCTTATACATTTTTTACCCCATGTTTTTAATATATCTTATGTTTTGTTAATGTGTATTTTTATTATGCCATGCGCTGAACTGAATTGTAACATTTTTAATGACTATTTCATTGACTCAATTGATAACATTGTTAACAATATTCCAATAGATCATGATATAGATCCTTTAGATTTTATGGAATTGAGCCATTTTACCTTTAGCTTTAAAGAAGTGGGCTTTAGTACAATTAGGGAGTGTATCGATCGACTAAGAAATAGCTGTAGCAAAGATCCTTATGACATTACTGTAAAAATTGTGAAGTCAATGAAGGATGTTATACTATCTCCATTGACAAAGTTAATTAATAAATGTATTGCGAGTGGTACGTTTCCTTCCGTATTAAAAATTTCTAAAGTAGTACCAATTTTTAAAAAAGGTTGCTTGTCTGATCCTAATAACTATAGAGCTATTTCTTTGACGCCCGTGTTTAGCAAAATTTTTGAATCTGTTTTAAAACTTCAAATGGAAACTTATTTCGAGGATCATCATATAATTAGTCAATCGCAATTTGGGTTTAGAAAAGGGAAGTCTACTGCTCTGGCTGTGAGTAATTTAGCAAGAACAGTTATGAAAGGATTTGAAAATAAAAAATACATTAGTTTAGCAGGTCTTGATTTTACCAAAGCATTTGACTGCGTATCACATAAAATCTTAATCGATAAACTAAGAAATTATGGTTTTGGAAACAAAAGTGCACAGTTAATCCACTCTTATTTATCAAATAGACAACAGTATGTAATTTACGATAATGGTGTTTCAAAATTGTCACAATTAAAGCACGGTGTGCCACAGGGATCTGTTTTGGGGCCCATCTTGTTCCTTATATATATTAATGATCTTCCGCATTGTGACCTATACACCGACCACATTATGTTTGCTGATGACACTTCTCTTATTAAACAATTTGATAGTGAAGAAGAAATCAATGAGTGCATGAAGTTAGCTATAGGAAGAGTTGATAAATGGGTAAAATCAAACAACACAGCGCTTTAAATGCATCAAAGACACAAACCATGACACTAACGCTAAGGAAACAAAAATTCATTAATCAAAATTCAGATTTTAGGATATTGGGAGTAACGTTAGATCCACATCTAACTTGGAACAGACATGTAGCTATTCAAAGTGCTAAATTATCTAAAGCTATATTTGTTATCAGGAATCTTAAAAGAGTTGCTTCAATGGAAACTGTAATTACAGCCTATTATGGCATTTTTCATTCAATTTTATCATATGCAATTCTTGCATGGGGCCATTCGAAACATGCAAATACTTTATTTGCCTTACAACGGAAGTGTATCCGAATAATAAAAAATATCAAGTACAGAGAGTGCTGTAGGAGTGGTTTTGTTGAGCTAGGTATCTTGACACTCCCTTGTACATATATACTTCAATGCCTACTCTATATTAAAGAGAACATAGTTTCACAAACTGTAAAACAGGATTTGCATAGTTATAACACAAGGAACAAAGAACACATTTACATAACTTTTCATAGGCTCAATAAAACAAAGGATGGCGTATCATATTATGGGATGAAGTTTTATAATGCATTACCCACGAAAACTAAAAACTTAGATTCACTATCATTCAAAGCTAGTGTAAAGGAATATTTAAAACGTCGAGCATTCTACTCACTAAACGAATTTTTGAACAATAGTTTCAATGACTTAGATTGCTAGCTCTGTTTGTGAAGATGTTGCGATTTTGTTGTCTAAATGTATATTTATTTTGTCCTTTGTCATTTTACCTAATTGTCATCTTGTCTAAGAAAATAGGTTTTAAATTTATATTGTATTGGTAGATAATTTTATTTATGGTCAATTATGTCTGTGAAAAAATGACGTGTGAAAATACTTGTAAGTATAAATCACCAATAAAGCATACATACATACATACATATTAAATAAAATAATATAAGTTTATATATTAAAACTTTGGAATATCTTGGGTTTCACCGCGTGCGACGTCTTCAAAAAGTGCAGTAGGGAAGCCTCTCATGCAGTTCCGATGCCAGTAGGTTATTTTTGTTATCATAAATGAATTCCCTGACCCCAAAAACAGAAGTCTAGACACTTTACACGACCCGGTGTGCCTTAAAAATATAATTCGATCAAAAGTCTGTCATTTTCTAAAAATGCAGTATCTTTCTAGAATTTCCGTTATACCGCATACTACATACTACATCCCACATCCCGTTTCACTGGAGACTCTGTGAAATCTCAACAGGATACTAGACCTGTTCCAGTTTGAGAAGTTATAGATTGGTGCCATTTCATGGTTATCGTCGCAAAGAATGGCTCTGATGAACTCC